AAGAATTAGGGGGGATGAGTGGGTGTTAATTAGAGGTAGGGCAAGAGATTGTAGTTGAATTACAACCAACATTCCGACAAATTCTGGAATGGGTTAGAGAGAAATCGGTAAGGTAAGCCATCTCAGTCACAGGAAGGCCATTGTTTCAGAATGAGCAGCACGGGCTAATCCATGGGTCCCCTAATAATCCATGGTAGGTGGTTCTCAATGTTGTGGCGTGGGGCAGTGCAGCAAGTAGGGCGACGAATTCGTCGGTAGTACCATTATACAATGATGTTGAAATGCAGCCTAAGACACGAAGTGTGGCATGTGTATCTGCTGCCTCATTTTTCATTAGATTCCATCTAATCTAACCAGAAAAAAATGCATGTACAATTATGTGTGTCGTTCATCCATTAGGCCTGCAGCCTGCTGCTGCTTGTTCTCATTTACAATAATTGTATCTTTCCTATTAGAGTTATGATCGAATTTGATTATGTCGTTGGCTCATTGGACGGTGCTCCGGAACCCAGCTATACCTACCAAAGCAAAGACGGATGAGAGAGAGTTATATCTATACATATATATAGAGAGAGAGAGAGAGGAAAGAGAAAGATACCATTGTGTAAATGCGACAGGTTCGGACAATTACCCTACTATCAGATGGGTGATGAGAAGTACAGATTGATGGCGATGCTAACAAGTTACAAGACTGAGAGGATCATGTGATCAACTTAATGGCACATCATGGACTTAATTGAACCCCAAAAGAGAGAGAGAGAGAGAGAAAGAAGTGAAATGGGCCCCCATTATGATGATCTCGCTAAAGAGCTTAAGTGTTTGTTAGCGACTGTTTACGATATCTAATAATAGTGATTTGGTATTTTGGTTTGTCACAAACTCACACCATCGGTTAGGTAAGTTAGTTATTGAATTGTTTGTAACGGGTGCTCTCTTATTAGAAAGACAAACTCTTGCTGGTTTTACAATGTGATTTGTATTCACCCAAAAGGGGAAAGAAAGGGAAAAAAAAGGAAAATGTTAACAACTTGTGTCTGTGTGGGGAGCCAAGCTCTTAGCAGTCTAAACTCAACTCTCTGATCTGATATTCCGATGGGTTGAGGGATTTGCGAGGACTTGGGGCAGGCATCTCTTCTGTGTTCTGTCCAAGTCCAAGGAGGGGAGACCAAAATAGGTTAAAACGCTGAGCCCTAACCATACTCTAACCTTGGGTCATGGGCGTTTTTATTAATCCCAACCAGGGTTAAGAACAAAGGCAAAGGCCAAAGGCAAAAGGCAATGATTACTTGAATGAGATGGGACCCACTTGATTATCTTTTCTTTTCGGTCTCTCGTTTTTTGACTTGGGATCGGGTCCCACCTCGGCCACCACTGTCTTTATGGATTGAATGATAAAGAGCACCGCACGTGGAGTCTGAGCCAAGGGACTGTCCAACCACAATAAAAGGAAGCAAGATTTAGAAAGGAGAGAAAAAATATTATAAAGACTTTAAAAATACAAAATAATTCTAAATACTAATAATAATAAAGGGGGAAAATAAAGGTTATGGTAAAGCAAAAAAATTTCCCCAAAAATATTGCTTTTTCATGCCCCCCATATAATTTCCACTCATTATATTTGTTGCTTAAAGCTCGCCCTCCTCCCTCTCTCTCTCTCTCTCTCTCTCTCTCTCTCTCTCTCTCTCTCGAGTATAGACCCAGTAGCTAGTCGAGCCCCTCAACTCAAACGAATATGAAAGCTATTGCAGGCTAACGGTAGAGAGACCGTCATCAGCCCATCATCCCCTTTCTCACCACTCTCTCACCACTGACAGACTGTGAAAGAAAGAGAGAGAGAGAGAGAGAGACGCTAAGCTGAGACCCACACACCCAGAAGATATTAAATTAAAGTGGGAACCGTCCATTCTACAGGTGATGTATTATTCTTATTATTTGTATTAGCAAGGGTTGTTAAAATCTTTATGCGATCAATCAAATGGAAGGAGATAACGGGATCCGTAGGCCAAACTTTCCATTGCAATTGCTAGAGAAGAAGGAAGAAGAGGATGTGTGTTCAAGCTCGGGCTACCCATCTCTAGCTATATCTGCCGAGACAAGCACCATCCGATCCAATTCCAGTCTACAAACCATCGAGCCAGCAGCAGCGAAGAAGGCCCCTCCGAAGAGGACTTCCACTAAAGACCGACACACCAAGGTTGATGGTCGGGGACGTCGCATCCGTATGCCAGCGACCTGTGCCGCTAGGGTGTTTCAGCTCACTAGAGAACTAGGCCACAAGTCCGACGGCGAAACCATCGAGTGGTTGCTCCAGCAGGCGGAGCCGGCGGTGATTGCCGCCACCGGTACCGGCACAATTCCTGCCAATTTCACGTCCCTCAACATTTCACTCCGTAGCACGGGGTCTAGTATGTCGGCCCCATCTCAGCTTAGGACCACGTACTTCAATCCAAACTTGGTCTCTACACCACAGTTAAGGATGAGAAGCGAGTGGGAACGCAGCATCATGGACGAGTCTCAACAACGTCGAATTCTATTCCCTGGCGTTGGGTTGTCATCGGAGACTTCCTCCTCCACCTCTGCACTTCTAAATTTTCACCCTAACAATGTAAACCCCATGCTACATGCTAAGCAGGAGCTGCGTGATCCATGCCTAGACATGTCGGACACCGACACTGGCATTGGCAGCAGAAAGCGTCGACCGGAGCAGGATCCGAGTCCTTCGTCGCAACAGCATCAAATGGGGAGTTACTTGTTGCAATCAAGCGCGGGTCAAATTCCGGCGAGCCATGGTCAGATTCCGGCGACCTTTTGGATGGTTACTAACCCTAACAACCAAGTGACGAGTGGTGATTCCATTTGGACATTCCCTTCGGTTAGTAACACTAGCATGTATAGAGGGTCCATGTCCAGCGGATTACATTTCATGAATTTCCCTACTCCCATGGCTCTCTTGCCAAGCCAACAGTTAGGCCCTTCAGGCATCGGTGGTAGCGGAGGCTCGTCCGAGGGACACTTGGGCATGCTTGCCGCCCTTAATGCTTATCGGCCGTTGACAGGCACCGGCGCATCAGACTCTCAGGCGAGTGGGTCCCATCAGCATCACGAGGGGAGTGAACGACATGACACACCTGGTCATCACCATTCGTAGATCGATCATTCATACATGTATGGCTTGATTTTTTTTTTTTTTTTTCTGAAATCCTTTAAAATATATAATTTGCACTTGAAACACGCTCCGTTTGATTTCTCCAAATTTGACGAGTTTATTATTCCTTCTTTTCCCTTTAATTAATGTGTGCTTTGAGTAGTAAGTAGAGAGGATTATAGGGCATGAGAAGACAGAATTTAACATGGGGTATTTGGCTGGTTTTTGCTACAAGTCTCTTGGGGTGTTATCCAGCAATTTCTTATCATTATTGGCTGTTATTCTATTTCTTTAAGGCTACTTGCAGTATTTGCTTTTGGTTCGAGTAAAACATTAACATGCATGCAATGCTCAAGGATCACTGTGACTTGCATCTAGGGTTTTTCATGAATTTAACCCACACAGAACATAAGAGGTAGAAGTACATCACCTCTCTCTCTCTCCTCCTTTGGTTGTGGTGGTGGTGAAACATTCAGTTCATGAAATTCAACTAGAGGTTGAAACAGAAAGATACAACAGTATTACTGCACTGTAGTATACAGGTACTGCTTTCGTATTTGATTCTCAATATCTCTTCCATGCATCTCACGTTACTGCAACTGTGATTTAGGACCATCAGAGCAGTGGGTCCATCCATTTACTACAGGGTGGTGGGAGCCACATCTTATCAGTTCCAGGTGGTGCTCAGGTGGTGAGCCCCAGTTGCTGGTTATTGTCTAAACCAGTGTACAATGTCACTGACTAACAAGAGGATCATTCCTCCCCTTTTTATAGAGGGTGATTGCTGGCACAATTGATTGGTGCTGGGTGTTCTTGACCCCACACATGGCCCACTAACTGATCAATCAGGACCATTCTTTAGAGGGAACCCCTCTTGGACGGGGACACTACGCATAAAATATGCTAATACACATATCTTTCACAGTTCTAACACTATCATATCAGTTTTGTATTTAACTTCTTCTCTTATATAGTTCATTGAAAAGAGGTGGAAACTGAAGTCTTAATGGGGCTTTTTGTTGCAATCTAAGCGTTTCTTGGTTGAAGTGATAGAAACTACAAGTGTATATCTCCTTCCTTCAGAGGATACAACATTATATTATCTGAAAAAGAAGGTTAATTATATATAACTCTATATATAATGGTACACTGTCCCGAATAGAGTTGTTGCAAACGAATTCTTTTATTATTACTGTTATGGATTGTAGCTAACTAGAAGGAATGAAGGATTATGTACTGCTTTTTTTTTTTTTTTCCTGGAGGGTATTAGAATTGTATAGCTGATCGAGCATAGTAAATAGACTTTGTATTAGTGATGAGTATAATGTTTAATAACTTTGGTTCATGTTATTATTGTTTGATTACATTAATTTCCTTTGAACTAGTTTCAGTTTTAGAGATTGACAGTATTAACATACGTTAAATAATTTCTTTATAGCTTGGCTATTATGTGTGTGGTTGTAGCATTATAGGAATAATTATTAATTGAACATAAAAACCACCACTTATAATCTCATGCTTATCAATCTGCTTAATTATTTGAGTTTAATTAGCTACATATGCAATTAGATTTTTTGGGTAGACAGTCAAGAAACATTACTAGAAACAAATCTAGAAAGAAAATGCATAATAGTCATGCTGGGTCCATCAACTTCTGTTAATTTTGGGTCAGGGGGGAACATTTATGTTGGGTCCATCGACTGGTCGATAGAAATCAATGAGCATGTGCATCTCATATTAAAGAACCTTGCTATTATATATAGGCATAATAATGCTACAGAATTCCATCATTTCCCTCTAGTTTTCTTCTCATATTGTCTATTTTTTTTTTTGCTTCATTTCACAAACAAAATTTCTGAAATAGATTTGAACTTGGTTGATTTTAGTGGTTTAATTGGTCTGCCCAAATAGTGGGCCGAGCTTTTAATGCCATAATTATCATGTTTCTGGTGCTTTTATTTACTTGTTGCTAGTTTTAGAATGTCAACAYAATTCTTCTTTTGGTGACAATGGTATCTTGCAGGTCAAGAAAAAAGGCAAGCTTTTAAATGTTAATTAAACTATTGGTAAATCAAGATTAGCTTACAAACCTAATGGAGTTTGTATATCAGAACATGAAAATTTTAATTTGATTTTATTTATACCTAATTAATATGAATTAAATTATGTGCTGCTTTACACAAACCTCCTTTACAAAAAACAAAAAGAAACTTCAATACATTTTCTTGTGTATCGTGTAATAATCTTGCTCTTTAGTAATGAGTTGTAATGATCATAAAATAAAGTAATAGATTATAAATTGGGTTTAATAGCTCGGTGGTTTAAGTTGTTTAATATTGTAACTTTCTTGAAAAAGTTGTGCTGTATTTAGACTTAATGACTGCAAATTACAATGCTTCTTACTTTAGCCTCCATTTTGAAAATAATAAGGAAAAATCACAAGCCAATAGCTATTTTCTGTACGTTGTGTAATCATTGTCCTTTAAAAACATTAATACATCGATATTAGCTGTAATGATACTAAATAAAAGTCATAGACTTATAAATTGGACTTGAGATATTGGTGGGTTAAGCTTGATTCAGTTGTTTAATCTTCTGGATTTTAGCTAAACCCTATAAAATATTGCCAGGTTGGGTATTTCTTGATACATATACCAACCCTAATGCAAACTTATTAAAGAAACCAAGCATTTCAATAATTTCTTCATTACCAGTACTCTTTCCAGTAAGACCACAACTTTGTATTCCCAATTATTTTATTATGGGAGTGATCTAATAGCTACAGTATAAACTTAGAATCTCCAGAGGTCATGAACTCGAAGACTTGTGGAATTCCACCTGTTGTATTTGAACAACGTTGATGTGTTGAGTAATGAAGACTTTAATTTCCCTATATTATGCGTATTGAGGGATCCATGGTTCCAATGCAGAAGCTGAATTTTCTCCCTGCTAGATTGTAGATTATTCTTATTTATCTCTCTGATAATTGAAAGTAAATTCCAACTCCTCTCTTCATTCCAATACAAAGTATTATAACAATTGGATTTATCCACAAATTTACTACTGCTACTACATGAAATTAAAGAGAGTCTCTTTCTCTCTCTCTCTCTCTCTCTCTCTCTTATACACACATATACACTTACACGCATACACATATACACACACAGAAAATGGGTCATCGCCTAATTCTATATCATTCATTTTTTTTTTCTATTTCTTTACCTTACTCTTGTAAAAATGTATTTCAATTGCAGGTGATCAGTTTCTTGTAGTAACAAACAGTATCTATAAAGCAATTGAAAATAATTAACATCCAGTTGTATATCTTATAATTTACCAATGACAATACAACACTCTCTTTATACATACAGTCATTAATTAAACAGCCGGGTTGAGTGAATGTGGATACATGTCTATCAAGTAAGCAGTTTGCTATCTTTCTTTCAAAAGAAAGTACCTTACTCCAGTGAAATGCACAAGAATAAAAAGTTGGGTATAACTTGAAACATCGAAACGAAATACATCTTTTGGATCGCAGTTGCTGAGTGATTTATTTGTGGAATGATAGCTGAGGTGGTAGACAGACATGGGGCCATATGTTTTACTAATCCACCATCTTTCCATGTCGTGACTTTCAGCTAGAATTATACCTTCTGCTACATGGCAAAAGGAGTCTCTTTTCTTCACTCTTTCTAGTGGAAAAATTCAAGAAACTGAAGGGGTATTATTCAAAGTTCCAAAAGCCGTGTGGGTATGTTGCTTACACGACAGATAGAAATTCAAATGATCACTCATTGGATAGATGACTGAAGGCATGAATCTATATATCATTAATACTATTTCAACGCCCAACTGGAAATGGGAGAAAAGAAGGAAAGAGAAATGAAGCAGCAAGTATGGAAGACTACGTAACAGAGTACCTTTTTTTTTTTTTTTACCTTAGTGGACCAAAAATCTCCATGACACCTCAACCCATTACCCACCGACCCTCATTCTGTAGTTTACAGAGTCATCAACATCGTAGATGGGGCATAGCTTGCAGGCTTGCAGCTCGGGACCATTTAAGCAACTCGTCTAGCTATAATGCCATAGATCGCTTTAATTTCTACTAGCTAGCTAGCTCTTTACTTTGTTCTTTTTTTTTTTTCTTTCCTTTACTACTTCTCCGAGTATCTGTCTGTATATTCGACTAACACACCCCAGGTCTTACTTTTGCTAGGGACCATCCAGAAGAAGGAACCCCTAGGGAATGGTCTATGGGTGAGGTGGGGTGGCCCATGCTTATGGCTTAGGCTAGGTTTGGTTGTAAAATAAAGAGAGGCGCTTTTGTATGTCAATACACTCTTTAAATATACCTAGGGGCTGAGGGGTAGCATTTGTATATATCAAACTAATTTTCAACGGTGTATTTATTAACTATATATATTTACCTCTAAAGGTGGAAGCTGAAGAACTTAGGTTCTTGAGGTTGTATGTATAATTTAACGAAAGAAATTCTTGTTGGCCATGGACTCGGGTTATGATAGATCTGCATGTTGCAATGCTGTTTGAATTTATCTCGATCGGTTAATTCAGGGTGATGAAACTTTGTTGGAAATAATGAAGATATTGGACATGATGTTTGTTTATGTTGGGGAGCTTCAGGAAATTCTACTGATGATTTAGTCTTTTTGATAATAGAGACTATAATGCGAGAGAGTTTAAACTTAGGAATTTAATGAACCATTGAAATAAATGTTGCTTTCCTTAAGGTTATGTTTGGTTCGAAGGAAAGTGCATTGAAAGGTGAGGAAACCTTTACAAACCTTGTATGAATTTCTCTGTCTTTCCCTACCTATTCCTTCAAACTAAACATAACCTAAAAGAATCTTAGACAATGTAGCCAATGCCTGATGCTGTGGTGTAGTGGTTATCACGTTAGTCTTACACACTAAAGGTCCCCAGTTCGATCCTGGGCAGCATCATTATGCACATTTTTATGCATATATGTATGCATAATATTCTTTTGCAATATATATATATATTCTTTTGCATGTGCCACTTACTAATGTGATTTAAAGGCACCACCGGCTCTAATATTATACTTAAGGGATAATGGTGCTTTTATCGTTATCATCATTATTGTCATTGTCTTATTATAATTTTTGTGATCATCATCGTCATTGTTTTAATTCTTATTCTTATTATTATATATTTGTTTTTTATATATAAAGATGTACTAGATATAGATATATTTCCATAATTTGGGCATGATATTCTTTTTAAAATTATACAATTTGCAAGTAATGGGCAATT